GCACCTGCTGGAGAGCACACTGTTATTTGCATTCATTACTATTGGTTTACATTGGGTATGACTTGACTGGACCTCTTTTAGCATGAATTACAATGTTTAGTCAGTCCTTGATCTTTAAAGGTGCTCTGCATTTATGTTTTGCGGTCTCAGAAAGGGCTAGCGAGATACCATTTTGTTATATCATGTTATGATTATTTTGAGAAAGTGTTGTCATCCGAGTTTTATTATTATGGCTCGCTAGCTGATTATGCTATTGATATGAGTAATTGTGAGACCTAAGTGTTATTGTGATTATGGTTAGTTCATAACATTTGCTGAAACCTGAATGCTGGATTTTCATGTTTACAACAACAAGAGCAAACAGAGTTTGTAAAAGTTTTTTTTATCACTTTCAGTTTATCAACTGAATTGCTTGAGAACAAGCAAAGGTTTAAGCTTGGGGGAGTTGATACGTCTCCAACGTATCTACTTTTCCAAACACTTTTGCCCTTGTTTTGGACTCTAACTTGCATGATTTGAATAAAACTAACCCAGACTGACGCTATTTTCAGCAGAACTGCCATGATGTTGTTTTATGTGTAGAAAAGAAAAGTTCTCGGAATGTCCTGAAAATCAACGGAGGCACTTTTTGGAAAATATAAAAAATATTGGCGAAAGAATCAAGACCAGGGGGCCACACCCTGTCCACGAGACAGGGGGGCGCCCCCTCCCACTGGGCGCGCCCCCCTATCTCGTGGGCCCCCTGGACCTCCACCGACCTCAACTCCAACTCCATATATTCACGTTCGGGGAGAAAAAAATCAGAGAAAAAGTTTCATCGCGTTTTATGACACGGAGCCGCCGCCAAGACCTAATCTCTCTCGGGAGGGCTGATCCAGGGTCCATTCGGGGCTCCGGAGAGGGGGATTCGTCGCCGTCGTCATCATCAACCATCCTCCATCATCAATTTCATGATGCTCACCGCCGTGCGTGAGTAATTCCATCGTAGGTTTGCTGGACAGTGATGGGTTGGATGAGATTTACCATGTAATCAAGTTAGTTTTGTTAGGGTTTGATCCCTAGTATCCACTATGTTCTGAGATTGATGTTGCTATGCCTTTGTTATGCTTAATGCTTGTCACTAGGGCCCGAGTGCCATGATTTCAGATCTGAACCTATTATGTTTTCATGAATATATGTGTGTTCTTGATCCTATCTTGCAAGTCTATAGTCACCTATTATGTGTTATGATCCGACAACCCTAAAGTGACAATAATCGGGATACTACTCGGTGATGACCGTAGTTTGAGGAGTTCATGTATTCACTATGTGTTAATGCTTTGTTCCGGTTCTCTATTAAAAGGAGGCCTTAATATCCCTTAGTTTCCAGTAGGACCCCGCTGCCACGGGAGGGTCGGACAAAAAATGTCATGCAAGTTCTTTTCCCTAAGCACGTATGACTATTTACGGAATACATGCCTAAATTACATTGATGAACTGGAGCTAGTTTTGTGTCACCCTATGTTATAGCTATTGCATGAGGAATCGCATCCGGCATAATTATCCATCACCGATCCATTGCCTACGAGCTTTTCACATACTGTTCTTCGCTTATTTGCTTTTCCGTTGCTACTGTTACAACTACTACAAAAACCCAAAAACTATTATCTTTACTTTTGCCACCATTACCTTTATTATCATACTACTTTGCTACTAAATACTTTGTTGCAGATATTAAGTTATCCAGGTGTGGTTGAATTGACAACTCAACTTCTAATACTCAAGAATATTCTTTGGCTCCCCTTGTGTCGAATCAATAAATTTGGGTTTAATACTTTACCCTCGAAAGCTGTTGCGATCCCCTACACTTGTGGGTTATCATGGCGCGGTCCGGTGGCGGTTCGGGCTACGGGGGCGGCGCGGGTGAGGTGAGGGGAAAGAGAGGGGTGGGGCGGGGCGCTGACCATTTTAGCTAGGTCAAATTTGTTTGTCGTCTGCTAGCAGATGGCAAAGAGCCTAGCTAGTGGGGTGGGGCCGGGGGGACCGGTCATTAGCTTGGTCACTTTCTTTGCCGTCTGCTTGCAGACGGCAAAGAGGGGTGCCGTAGGTTGTGCTCATTACTGGGCCAACCTCCCTCTTTGTCGTCTGCTAGTAGACGACAAAGAACTAGCTGGCGGCAAATATGATCTTTGTCATCAGCCAGTTCTTTGCCGTTAGTTTTCTGTAAGATGACGGTAAAGACTTCTTTGTCGTCAGCTAGCAGACGGCAAAGAATTGGCTGACGACAAAGATCCTAATTCCAGTAGTGTGTCACCACGAGTATCCCATGCAAGACATACATCAAGTGTTCTCAAATCCATAATAGTATTCAATCCGATAATAGTGAAACCTCAAAGGTAAAACTCAATTCATCACAAGAAGGTACAGGGGGAGAAACACCATATGATCCAACTATAATAACAAAGCTCGCGGTACATCAAGATCGTGCCAAATCAAGAACACGACAGAGAGAGAGAGAGAGTGAGAAAGAGAGAGAGAGAGATCAAACACATAGCTACTGGTACATACCCTCAGCCCCGAGGGTGAACTACTCCCTCCTCATCATAGTGGCCGCCGAGATGATGAAGTTGGTCTCCAGTGATGGTTTCCCCTTCGGCATGGTGCCTGAACGGGCTCCCGATTGGTTTTTCGTGGCTACAGAGGCTTGCGTCGGCGGAACTTTGGATCTAAGGTTTCTTTCTAGAGGTTTCTATATTTATAGGAATTTTTGGTGTCGAGAACAAGTCAGGGGGTCCACGAAGCAGCGACAAGCCAGGGGGCGCGCCCTCCACCCTTGCCGTCACCTCGGGACTCTTCTGCTCCAACTCCGATGCTCTGGGGTCTTCTTTTGGTCCATAAAAATTCATCGTAAAGTTTCAGCTCGTTTGGACTTCTTTTAATATTCCTTTTCTGTAAAACTCAAAAATAAGGAAAAAAATAGAAACTAGCACTGGTCTCTAGGTTAATAAGTTAGGCCCCAAAAATTTATAAAATAGCATATTAATGCATATAAAACATCCAAAACAGATAATATAATAGCATGGAACAATAAAAAAATTATAGATACGTTGGAGACGTATCATTGAACTATATAATTTGTATTGAACTATTTGATTTCTATTGACTTTCTATGATGAACTATGTGATAAAAAATAGTTTCTGTTGAATTTATGTCGACGCACGCGCATCACGCCCAATACGGGCCGAAATTGGTCAATTTGCGCCGACAGTGGGCCATTTTGCGTCGAAAATGGGCTGAAAAGTGGGCCAATTTGCGCCGAAAGTGGGCACAGGCGCCGACCTGGGGGCGGCGGCTGGGAACCCGATTACCCCCAAGCCGAAATTTCAGCCGGCGCGCACCCAGGGCGGTGCTATTTCTAGCCCCTGGGGAGCCGAATGAGTGGAGATGCTCTTAGTTGTGAGGAAAGATCAAATGACGACAACTTTAAAATAAAAAATGCCCTCTCTAAAGAAACTGTCAAGTCGCTCGGAAGAAGCTGCCATCCACTCACAACTAAAATGCCACCTTTTTCGAAAAGGAGGATGACCCCCGGCCTCTGCATCAAGGCTATGCATGCAACCGTTTTATTAATTATTCATAAGACTTTACAAAGTAATACATCAATATGTCCGAAAGCATCATCTTGATGATATATGTCGCTACTCCTATCCACTTGATGAAGATGTGCAGATTGTCGGGGCCGCATATCCAGACCTCACACCAAAGCACAACATCTAAAGCTGGAGGCCCCAACCAAGCCGAATTGTCGGGTCCGGGTCACACACCGGTCCAACGCACTCTCACCGGGCACCGCATGCGCACGCTGCAGAGGTCGTCGCCACCGTCTTCCACCAATCCATCTTTAGAGAAGGTACTGTCAGACAACGCAACCATCCTATGTGCATCATCACGCATCCGTCACCAAGACCCCCACAGCGCCACGCCGCCGAGACTCCACGTCGTCGATGCGTCACAGGAACCGCTGCTCCACCGCAGGAGTCATCCAGTGGTCCCTCAAGCCTATGCAACCCTCCAAGAATGACGCCCCAGGGGAGGAGGGCACAAGAGAGCCCCCGTCATCCGATCGACCGATCTAGGGTTCCCTCGGAGCGGATAGAGGTCTGGAGCTTCTCAATGACGATGCCTTCAAGAAAGGAACGGCACAGAAGAGCGCCACCATCGCCGTCCTTGGCAACTAGCCGAGAGCAAGATTTTTACCCGGATATGCTCAACGAACCTCCATCTAGCATCGTGCGCACGGTCTGCCACCGATCCATAACGCTGCGCAACTAGCAGACCGCACCAGCCAAATCAAATCTGACCGGAGGCTGGACCACGTGTGCCGCCGACCCGTCCACCAGGCCTTCCATGCCCCGCCGCCGATCCAAGGTCAGATGGCCGGCTGCCGCTGCCCGAGGCAAGGTCGGCCGCCGCCCGCCGCCTAGAACATTTGCAAATGCCACCTTCTCTAACGAACATTCGCCAGTTAACAGGGTCATATGAATATTGTGCATATACAGGCCTAAAGGCACATTATATTCCCACTATAGTAGAAAAACAAGCATGAGATGTTTTTTCTTTGTGCTCAATTATCATCATCAACGCCGCACGACACACACCCGAATGGCCGGATATATCTTCCCAAGGCAGCAGCGTGGAGTGGTGGGCGTAGCAAATCCCTCTCCCTTTTGACGAAAGTAGGAGCGCACACCGCACCAACTCCGCTGCTGCGTGCGCTGCCGCTCGTTATTCCCCTGCCAAGCCTCCCCCTCCCTCTCCTCCCTCCTCAGCTGTGAGCTGTGCTGCCGCCGCTTTCACCTCCACTAATCATCATCCCCATCGCCGCCTCCTTTCTCTTCCTTTCCCTTCCCTCCCTCCCGATCCTTCCTCCTCACACACACACGCGCACGCGGCGAGAGGAGCGGGACGCAGGGGCGCGGAGCTGGCCGGCGACGGGGAGGGGGAGGGGGAGGGGGAGGGGATGGCGGCGGCGTGGGGCGGCACCACGCAGAAGTGCGCCTCCTGCGGCAAGAAGGTGTACCCGGTCGAGGAGCTCGCCGCCGACGGCCGCGCCTACCACCGCCCCTGCTTCCGCTGCCACCACTGCAAGAGCACCCTCCAGGTCAATTCCCTCGCCGTCTTCTCCCCCCTTGACCACAATCATGCCAACCAACTAGAGTTCCACTGTTCAGATGATCTCTCTAAATAAAGTAGTAGTACTGTACCAAAGTAGGACGGATGCTATGATTTATAAGAGAGATGCTTGCATGCTTATGCCCCTGGTGATTCGGGCTATTATTGCAAGCTTTACGGGAAGTAAGTACCTGTAATGCGTACCCGAGCATCATTAACCTGCTTATGATTGTCTGTCCCTGTTCAAACTGCTCAGTTGATTGATGCTGTGGTTGGTACTTGTACTTGTTGTGTGGGTTTCTCCTTCTCAACCACAACCAGTTATGAAGTTAGGCTGCATGTTCTTGTCAACCGCGATGATTTTGTCCATTCCGCACCCTGCAGATTGTCCATCAGAGAGTGGTAATGAGTACCACGCGGCTCAAGCCATCTAATAAAAAAACCATGATGTTATATTATGCATTTAACTTCATTCAAGGAATCCATCTTCGTCGCACAATGATGTGTCATATTAGTATGATGAGTTATCTGTACTTGCCTTTCCTTAAAGAAACGGGCACGACAGCATAGAACATGCAGTTTGGTGATGATTTGCCCATGGGTGGAGTGGACCCCTTGAGCCCTGATCTGTTTTAGGATCCCTGTAATTCTCTTTTAGTGGCATAAAAGCAGTTTAGAGCTATGATAAAGATGTAGCCAGTTGACACAATGAACTACCAATAAAGCCAAAGACAAATTTAAGTTGATATCCGCTCTTAGTCCTAGATTGGAAATGGGCTCCTTGCATTATTGATTATTCCTTCGGACCACATGCTTGACATAGTCTATGCTCTATTATTTAAAAACTAAATTATTTTTCTGAAAGCAGAAATACTCACATTAAATCTTTTATGCTACATCATATTACTTGGCACTGCTACTGTGTTTTCCTGTTTGCGGCTAAAGCTACATCTTTGAAACATAAAAGTAAACTAACATGGGAACTATTTTTTGTTCTTTTCTTTCTTGTTTGTTCTGCAGTTTAGTAATTATTCTTCGATCGAAGGTGTCCTGTACTGCAAACCTCACTATGACCAGATATTAAAATCAACTGGCAGTTTAGAAAAAAGTTTTGAAGGTACTGAAGGCAATACTTGATCATTCGCACTCAGATGTGTTTATTTTCAGGATTATTTTGTTATATTGTTCTCTAAATTTGGGAGCAATTCTGTATTATGTCAGGTGTGACAAGATCAGCTAAATCAGAAAAATCAAATGGACCCAAGGTATTGAGCTTCTGTAGGGCACGCCTTTTGTGTGTTTGAAGCATATTCGTAGTATTGGAATTGTTTGTCTTATGGTGCGATATACACAACAGTATGTCCATTTCCTCCTTGATATTTTTCCAAAATGCAGGGCCAGCAAAACAGCAGATTCTCTAGCATGTTTGTCGGCACGCAAGACAAGTGCGTAGTTTGTAACAAGACTGTGTACCCTCTTGAAAAGGTCAGTATTATTTAATATTTGGCTGCTACTTTAATGCACATTAAACCATCAACTGCCTTGGTGGCCTGGCCACGTTCTCCGTGACCGGAAATAGCGTATCTCTTTTCGTGGGGGGCGGGTTTGGCTAGCGACCAAAACCTAGCCGCCGCCGCCAAGAGAGCCATCTTTCCGGCGCCGTTTTCCGGCGCCGTTTTCCGGCGGCTCTCCTCCGCCGGCGACCTCTTGGTCGTCGGTCGTGAGGGGGGTCGCCGGATCCCGTGCATGCAGATCGTTTTTGCTTTAGGTTTAGAGCCCTAATAGCCTAGGTTTTTAGATTGTCCGACGTCTTGGCTTCGACGGCGGCGACGGCGATGCTGAATAAAGAAGCTCCAGGTTCTTCTCCGGCGAGGCGATCGTCTCTTTGCTCGGTGATGGATTTGGGAACCAGTCTGTTCAAGCGGGGATATCGTGGCGGCGACGGCATCCTTGTGGTGGACTTGTGTCCTCGGGCTCCGCCGTTGCGACGACGTCTGCTCCAGCGTCGGCGCGGAGCTTGGGAGGTAGTTCGGGAGCAGATGCAGATTGTGATCTGCATCGACGACATCTGGAAGACAGAACGTGTGCTGAGTTCGTGGTTGATGGATGGCAGGTATGGTTTCCTACTTCGGCGTCTTAGTCGTTGTGGAGTCTCAGATCTGGAGTTCGATAGCGTGTCCGGGGTGTTGCCCCGGTCTGATTCGTTCAACGGCAATGGCTTCATCTTTGGTGAGCCACCTTGGAGGTCCGCAAAGCTGCATATCAGCGATGGAGCCGCGTCGAGCTCGGGTGAGGAGGTGATCCGTCATTTTTTTCTTTGGTGGCTCCTGTGGTGGTGCCGGAGGCAAGTGACGGACGTTGGTGTCAAGCTTAGCAATGTTCTGCTATCTTTTCAGTTTTGTCATGTCGGTCTTTACGTGACTTGTAATTTGATCTTTATGATATGAATGAGACATGTATTACCATGCAAAAAAAAAACCATCAACTGCCCAGAAAAATAAGTATTCTGTGTATTTGGTTCTCTCTATAATAGCCGGAGTTACTGGTGTCTGTAAGTTGTACAGAAGAATTGTGGTTTGTTCTGTCATCTTGCTAAAATTGTCATAATTCATTACAAGACTAGTTCCATGGCAACTGCAAATGTAATAAAATTTGTCATGTTTATTATTAGAATTATGATCTGGCAGATTCCCACATCTAATGCAGTTCTCTAATCCCACTTGCAAGTGCCAGGGAGGAAAAAAGAACTAATCAATATCTCGTCCACGAGCCAAATTGTTTTTTCAGTGAAGAGATATTATACCAATCCAATATTATGTGTTGGGTCTTTAATGCCTTCTTTAACATAGTGCATAGCTGCGGAAGTGACATCTAATTATCTTCAGCATCTATGGCAGGTCCAATAAATGCCTATAATGTTTGCATTTTTAGCAATATTTTTTCTTTGAATGTCTTTCCTTTCTCATTCTATCACTTCCTGTACTTTTACCTTATTGAACTTGTTTTTTGTTCAACTCGTTTCTTTCAGGTTGATCTTAACGGAGGCTCGTATCATAAATCATGTTTCCGTTGCACCCATGGTGGTTGTACACTCAGCCCATCCAACAATGTCACACATGAAGGCAAACTTTATTGCAAGACCCACCATTCTCAGTTGTTTATGGTCAAGGGAAACTTCAGTCAGTTCGAGGAAAACACTGTAAATGCAAAAGTGGCTGTCGAGAAACAACCAGAAACTGGAGAAGCCACTGACAAGCCAGGTCAAGGTGACGAAGTCAGTGAGAAGACCACAGAAAATGAGCTCACAACTGATGAACCATCCCAAAATGATGTTGCAGCTGAAAAACAATTGCAAAGTAGCATTGATGTTGCTAAACCGTCGGAAAGCACAGTCGAGAAGTCAGCAGAAAGTGAAAGTGTTACTGAGAGTGAGTCAAAGAGTCCTGGAGTTAACAATAAGCCATCAGAAAGCAGTGCCGAGAAGCCACTGCAGAGCAGTGTGGTTGATACTAAGCCACCAGGAAGCAGTGCGGCCATAAGAAAACCATGGCAACGCAGTCTTCCCACAAATAAGCCGTCAGTGATTAGTGCATCCACTGAAAAGCCATCACCGAGCGATGCGGCCATTGAGAAGCCGTCGTCCAGTAATGGGACTAATGGGAAACCGTCGGACAGCAGCACAGGGGTAAAAAAGTCATGGCAGCGCAGTGTAGCTACTGAGAACCCACAGCAGAGCATGTTACCATCGGATAAGCCAGCATCAACCAGTGCAGATAATGTGAAGCCATCAGAAAGCGGCAAAGTGGCCAAAAAAACATGGCAACGCCCTGTGGTTGCTGAGAACCAGAAACAAAACAGTGGACCAACTGAGAAGCCGTCACCGACGAGTGATACAAAGCCATTAGATAGCAGCACAGCAATTAAAAGGCCATGGGGCCGCAGAATAGCCAGTGAGAAATCTCTTCAGAGTAGTGAGGTTGATATGAAACCAGTGGAAACCAGTACAGTGGTCACTGTTCTACAGCAGCCCAGTGAGGAACCTCTACAAACCAATGCAGCTGTGCTACAGCAGCCCAGTGAGGAACCTCAACAAACTAATGCAGCTGTGCTAAAGCAGCCCAGTGAGGAACCTCAACAAACTAATGCAGATGATGTGAAGCCTTCGGAGGACACTGGAGCAGTAGTGAAAAAGCCATGGCAATTCAACACGAGAACCGAGAAGCAACCCCAGAGTAGTGTAGTCGATGCAAAGAAAACTGAAAGTACTGGAGCGATCAAACGGCAGTGGAAGCGCAACACGCCATTTGAGAAGCCATCACAAAGCAGTGCAGCAGCAGCTGTGACAACGACACAAAGCAATGTGACCGTCACCAAGCCAGCCCCGAGCAACATGGCTGTGAAGAAGTCATGGCAAAGAAGTACAACTCCAAAAAATCTGGCAGCGAGTGATATGGCTACCAATAAAGCATTGCAAACCAAGGCAGTGATCGAGAAGCCATCACAAGAAAGTTCTCAAGAGAAACCATTACAAGAAAAGGCACCTCAAATCACTGTGATCACCGAGAAGCTATCGGAAGAAACTTCTCAAGAGAAGCCATCTCAAGAAAAGGCACCTCAAACTGCTGTGATCATCGAGAAGCCATCACAAGAAAGTTCTCAAGAGAAGCCATCTAAAGCAAAGACACCTCAAATTGCTGCAACCACCGAGAAGCCATCACAAGAAAGTTCTCAAGAAAAGGCATTACAAATGAATGAATCTTCCAAGGAGCAACTTCAGACTGAAGAGACTATTGAGAAACAACTTCAAAGTGAAGATATTGCTGATGCTACACCACAAAGGGACCTGATGACACAAGATGATGTCTCTCTCAAGAAGATACCAGAGCCTGAAATTGATGCCTCTTCTGACAAGCCTACGAAGGATCCATCAGAGCAAGAAGGGGCTGCATCTGGTGAGAACTTGTCAGAGTCTCAAAGTAAGCTAACTGTTGAACAGACGTTGGAATCCCAAGACGCTGTGGTTCCTCGAGAGGCAACTGACCAGATAATGGAAGCTAAAAATGATGCAGGCATTGAGCGGTCATCAGAATCTCAAAGTGTTGCACCGGCAGAGGTTCCAGTGGAGCAACCATTGCAACAACAAAAAGATGCATCTACAGAGCAGGCATTGGAATCTCAGCATGAAGCAGATGACAAGGATCAAACAGAGCCTAGTAGTGATGCAATTGCTAAGGAGTCATTGCAGCTTGAATTTGACACAGCTGCCGTGAAGTCATCAGAACCACAAACAGATGCAGCTGCTGATCAGTCGGCTGAGCAGCTACCAGAACCTCAAAGTGACGCATCAGTGGAGGAACCAGTAGTCCATCAAGGCGACGTGTCTACTGAGAAGCTATCTGAGTCTCAAGGTGATGCAGCTGCTGTTGAATCATCAGGACAGCCATCAGAGCCTGAGAAGTCGTCGGAACCTCAAATGGATGCAGCTCCTCATAATTTAACTGATCAGCCATTGGAACCTCAAAAGGATGTATCTATTGAGAAGCCACTCGAAACCGAGACTAACGTTGTTGCTGATAATCCATCAGAAAGCAGCTTAGCTACTGAAAGCACTCTAAAGATCAGCACTACCACCGAGGAACCTGCACAACGTGAAATTTCTGATGAGACACTGCCTCAAAGCATTGCATTAGATACAACACCAGAAAGCACCACATCTGTCGAAGAACCCACAGATGTCGGTGAGGCCATTGTTGAGATATCAGAGGACAGCTCAGCTCCTGAGAAGCCATCGGAGGATGCTGTAACTCCTGAGGAGCCATCAGATGTAGGTAAGACAACTTTGGAACCAGCAGGAGACAATGCGGCTGTTGAGAAACCATCAGAGGAAGTTGAGGTGGGTACTGATCCATCAAACAACCTAGTGGATCTCGAGAAGCCATCAGAGAAAGAAGACGACTCTGTGAAGCCAGTAGAGGACAGTGTGGCTCTTGAGAAGCCAACCACCGACAAACCCTGGGAGGAAGATAAGGTGAGTGCTGAACCATCAAACGACAGAGTGGATCTTGATAAGCCATCGGAGAAAGAAGCTGACACTGTCAAGCCATCAGAGGACAGCATGGCTCTTGAGGAGCCAGTCACCGACAAACCATCAGAGGAAGACGAAGCCAGTGCTGAGCCATCAAACGACAGAATAGATGCCGAGAAACCATCGGAGGAGAAAGAAGAGGACACTGTGAAGTCATCAGAGGATAGCACGGCTGTCGAGAAGCCAGCCACTGACAAACCTTCAGAGGAAGAGGGAGAAGGCGCAGCCAGCGAGAAGCCGTCGCATGACGATGCTGTCATCGAGGCACCATCGCACGAGGACATGGACTCGGCCACCGACAAACCCTTGCCTGCCACAGAGAAGAACATATCACCCTGAGCTCACCGGGACAATGGTTAGCCGGGCACAGTCACTGCGCATCAGTAAACAGTTTTTAACCGGGAGAAGGATCAATACTACCGTTGATAGTTTTGCGTGCCATTTTGCTTGTTTTTGTCTGTGCAATGCTTGAATTGTAAAATTTGAGGGGGAAAAGGAGAGAAGGATAGGGTATTTACTTGGTTCACTCACCCACAAGCAATAAGCCCCTCCCCACATTAGGAGGAGGGCAGCATTGTGGTCTTTTACCTTTTGACAACAGATATTTCTGTTGGTGTGGTTTGGTTTGTTGCTCAGATTTTTGTTGTATATCAGATGATGTACATGATGGTTTGGTTCAGATTTGTTTGTGCTTGCTGAACCTGAGCTGTTTCAGAATTGCTTGCCTATGTGCTGTGGCTAGATGGATATTCAGAGTTTGCTCTGTCCTGTGGTCAAAAGACTCGAAGCTCAGCAGCAATGTATGCCCTCGTGCAGATGTGCTGTGGCTAGATAGATAGTACTCCTACTATCCAGAACAACCTTCCATAAAAAAAAAAGGAATGCTCTAGAACAACCTAAAACCTCAAAACCCCAGTGGCGACGGAGCGAGGAGGGAGGGAGCGATGGCGCCGAAGCGGAAGCCAGCGGAGCCGCCGAGGGATGCCGAGGGGATATTCCGCGGCGTCTCCGCCTTCTTCGTCCCCCACGGCGTGCAGCCCCGCCGCCTCGAGGTCGCCGCTTCTCCCCCCCTTCCACCCCCGCCCGATTTGCCTCCCATTTGTGCTTATTAGGTTTTTGGATTGCGGCGGTGGCTGTAGGTGTGGAAGCAGAAGCTGGTGCAGATGGGGGGCCGCCTGGAGAAGAAGGACGCCGGCGCCAAGGGCGCCAGGATCAACCACGTGCTCGCCGCCGACGCCGAGGCGCTGCTCCGGGAGCTCGGCGCCGACTGGCTTCACCGCTTCACGGGGGTAATAGCTAGCTGCTCTCCCCAGCCCCCCTTCGACCCCGTAGAACCCTAGTCTCTCTTACCCTCCCCTAGTGCTGTGTGCAATCCCACATCTGCATTCAGTTCCCAAAGGCTTGCACCTGCCAAAGTAATGTGGGCATCAAATGAGCCTTCTGAGAGATTGCAACGAGTGCCTGTATTCACATGAGCATTGGATTTTGATCGCAGAGCGTGGTGTCCTTCGATTGGCTGGAGGAGTGCCTCAAGTCCGGCGAGAGGCTGCCCGAGCACAAGTTCACCATCAACTACGAAGAGGAATTTAAACCCAAAAAGGCAGCTGGTACAGGCGCGTCAAATCCTGCAAAGAGGAGCAAAATGTCATCCGAGGATCCTGAGAGTCACAAAGCAATTAGTGGACATGATGGGAAGGAGGAGGTGGCTACCGGGGAGCATCGAGACAAAACAAGTACACATGTGCATGATGGTTCAGGTGTCGAAAAGGGGCCTGGCCAGTTTGCACATAGCCAGACTAGCTCTGGGGATACTAAGGATACCGTAGGGTCTCTTGATACTGAGGTATAACCATGACCTGATAAACCAATGTGCCCTAACCATCTTTTCTCTAAAGCTTAAATTAGCTTATTTTGAGTTTTTGACACACCTATTCTTCTATAGTTTGCCAAAGTTTATACACAGTGAGGCATCAAAAAAGAAAAATATTATTTCTAATGAACTTTGAGCTATAGATTGTACTTACATGCCTGCTGAATATCGGAATTCAACCCTGTTGCCCATTGGCAAGCAACTTTATATCTATTCAAGTTTTCATCCATGGAGTGTACACTTGAAAGTCTTCACTTCTCGGTGCTGGGCTTTATCTCATTTTTGCATAGACGGGAATTTTCTGCTTTGCATGCTAATTCATTAGTCATACAACCAGGAAGCTTCTTCTGGGGAACCCACAACATATGCTCCACCAGACCTCAATAGGAACATCACTGAGATTTTTGGAAAACTTATCAACATATATAGAGGTAAAGTACATTGACACATTCACACATTGTACTTAGTAATGTTCTCATCATTTGGTTGATTGTTGTGCAATTTCATTTTTCTCTTGAAGCCATGGGAGATGACCGGAGATCATTTAGCTATTACAAGGCCATTCCTGTGATCGAGAAACTGCCATTCAAAATAGAAAGTGGCGACCAAGTTAAAAACCTCCCTGCCATTGGGAAATCTTTGAGAGACCATGTATGTATGTCTTGTTCTACCATTTCTTACTGTTTGTTGGTGACTGCTAGTGTAGTCCACAACTCTTTCGACATTTTAAAAAGCCGACAAGTATATTTTGGACTCCAATGTAAATGAAACTAATAAGATGAACTTATTGTCTTTCCGCAAAAAAAAGAAAAAGAAAAAGATGAACTTATTGTCTTTGTCTTGTTTACTAGAAAAATTATTGCCATTTTCGCTGATAGCATAAAACATAAAGTGCTAGATGACGCTGAACAGTTATAGCATGGGCCAAATAGGAGTTTGAACATAGAAGTTCCAAGAAAGAAAATGATTTTGCATTCATCATTTGATTCACAGATTAATGAAATAGTGACAACAGGAAAGCTTTCCAAACTGGAACACTTTGAGAATGATGAAAAGGTAACCTAATTTTGAGCAAGGACTAATTCTTAAGCATTATTCAGTTGCATGCACTGATAATTGATTTACATAATTTTAAAGGTACGGGCAGTCAGCCTATTCGGTGAAGTTTGGGGTGTTGGTCCTGCAACTGCTCTTAAGTTATATGATAAAGGACACCGTACTCTTGATGACCTTCGGAAAGATGACTCACTTACATATGCTCAGAGGACTGGCTTGAAATTCTTTGATGATATCAGACAAAGAATCCCTCGGCATGAGGTATGCAATTCGTGCACTTGTTTGCTACTCCCTCCGTCCAAAATAAGTGTCTCAAATTTGTACTAACCTTAGTACAAAGTTGTACTAAGGTTGAGACACGTATTTTGGGACGGAGGGAGTATTAGTTACTAGATTTTTCACAGGCATGCAACACAGCACACATTACATTCTTTTCTTATCTAGGTCAGTGAGATGGAGAAGCTTTTGCAAGAAGTTGGGAATGATATCTTGCCTGGAGTGAGTTACAGAGATCATTTTGAGCAACTATTTGTACAGATCACACATAAGCTGTTACGGCCAATCACTTTCCTATAGTTATCTCTAAAATTTGTCATGCGTGATTCTTATTTGAAGGTGACAATTGTATGCGGAGGATCATACAGACGTGGAAAATCATCTTGTGGTGACATGGATATTGTAATTACTCATGATGATGGTAAAAGGTATACTTCAAAGCATGTGAAACCAGGTTTAGAACTGGACAGGCCTTGTCTAATGATTTAAAATTCACATATCAGGAGAATGTATGCTTCTATGGTCCACTCAATGTATGCTATAATATTGTAATGAATAATTACACTGGCTAGGAAATTAAAACATGGGAGAAGACAGAACCTCACAATCATTCTGAGCAGCAGTTTGATTATACAACATTGTTATCAACTTCTGTAAAAAATATATTGTATCAACTCATTGTAACTTGCAAGTTTAGATTGATGACATATTCTCCTCTATAAGCATTTCGATTCGTATTTATGCAAGAACAGTTTCATAGTACAAGAAGTTGTGAATCAGGCCTTGCAATTCTTTGCAGTCATGTAGGTTTTCTGCCGAAGTTTGTTCAGAGGTTGAAGGACATCAATTTTTTAAGGGAGGACCTTATCTTCAGCGTAAACAGTATTGAGGTATGTAGCCACCAGTTCCACAGAATTTGAGAAGATATATTATATGGAAGAGATAGCATATAAATAATAATCCAAAAAACACTGGTGATAAAAAAGTAGAAAGTTACAATATCTGATAAGGTCCTTTCTCAACTTCCTGAAGAAGTGTATTAAGAAGGTTTGAGTTAGCTAGCATTCCTCGATGAAATGCAGGGAACTGACAGCGGGGTTGACACATATTTTGGTCTTTGCACGTATCCTGGGCGTGAGCTGCGGCATCGCATTGACCTCAAGGTATGGAGTGATTCCACTATTCCAGTAGAAGACATCAGAGTTATATTGACGTTTTTATTCTTCAGTTAGCACCGATTTGTTTCTTTTGGAACTGAAAAACATAGTTCACTTCATGTCGGCGTCTGCCGTTTGATGTTGACAGGTATACCCAAGGAACAGATATGCATCCGGGCTGCTAGCCTGGACTGGAAATGATGTTCTAAATCGACGGTATAAATTCGAGCTCTATGCATACGTCGTGCCATGGTTATGAAAATCTGACTTTGTTCTTTTGGGAATAACTTGTGCAATTACAACATGCAGATTGAGAATACTAGCAGAATCAAAAGGCTACGTGCTTGATGACACGGGTTTGTATCTTGCTACACAGAGCAGTGGTGGAAAGCGCGTAAGCACACACGCTTGTTCATCGGTTATTACAATTCTGTCTTCCTTCATTTCTCTGTCGGCATTTCATCTTTTATCGTGAATTTCGCAGGCAGGGAGATCAGAAGCTATAGTTAACTGCCACGAGGAGAAGGACGTGTTCGACACGCTTGGGTTCCCCTACTTGGAACCTCATGAACGAAATCTATAGTTCTGAAGGAAAATGTAGCTTTGCCAAGCATGTGTAGTTTTGCTTCTCCTTGTACCGCAGGCCGGCTGGTAGCTGTTTCCAAGGCTGTGCAGCAAACCTTTGTTGGAGACGGTAGTCTGGCAGGCTCGTACATAGTTGTTGTTCTCTGTTGTACTGTAGGGCAGTAAGGAGAATGTTGCTCATGCCGCATGAATCTATGGACAAGTTTCTAGCTATTTTGTCGTACGACCGTTTTCTTTGCCTTCTCAATAGCCACGATGGTTTTTACTTTGCAACTGCAGCTATTGCAGGCGAAAGCAGGAGTATAATAAAAATACAGCACTCCCTCTGAATGAGAGGCAAGTAATATAGATCGAAGGGAGTAGTAAATTTCAGAAAACATGCTGCTTCAGATAATGTAGCGTGAGTGCCATAATTCATAGTACATCACAGGGTCTTCGGCAACTATGTCCATATAAGATGGTGTTTTCAGGAATCTAATAAGAAAGAAATGCGCCTTAAAGTCATTTACTACAGAATAACCATCAACAAAGGACGGTCCAAAGTTGCAGGCAAAAATGTCACGGTCAAATCTTGAGAAACTTGACAAGCCCAGGGCATTTTCAAAGCTTGTTGCACTGTGAGATAACCCAGATCCAAAAACTCTCCCCTTCCTTGGAAGTTAACCAGATCTAAAAGTTAGCACGCAAAGTGGGAACATCTGACCGATGGTGCGAAATATGCCGCATCCCAGCCAGCACTTTTAGCTACTTACTGAAAACGGAGCTGAAGTTTCAGGCTTAAGTCAAACTAACCATAATCGCCTACATAGTTGCGAAGATTACTTACATCTCCTCTGCCTACACCTACCGAGAAGCAAACAGCGGTGGTCAATAAGAGCTGTTGCTGGGACCGCCACCGAGCATTTCGTCCCTGTCGATGAATCGCTCGAGAAGCTCCTGGTCCTTGGTCACCAGACACTCGTCATCTTTGCCGAACCAGTCGTACCGGTTCCTTGCAATGTAATCGTAGGCTGCGTCACGCAGTGGGACGGGGATGATCAGCAGGGAGCTCAGCACCGAGTAGGGAAGAGGCAGGTATGATGCAACTTTCAGCGCAGCTGCAACCAAAAATGTTAAGAATGTTCAGTGGCATGACAACCGAGAGGATCAACTACAATGCAATAATTGTACTACGAATTTTTGCTGAATTGAGTATGTTTTTCAGTTTATAGTGCTGTTTTATCCCAGCATAGCTATTGTTTATAATTTGCAGCAAGCATATGGAAACCTGAAACTATTTGTATACTTTCAGAATTCTGATGCCTCAAGGACTGATTAAACTATATAATCTAAAGAGAATTGCACATCTCAAATTTTACACAATTTAGTGAAGGAGAGCAAAAACAGTTGACATTGCAAAAACTTTTGGTTGAGCAAGGGATGAGACAACAATAGCGTAAAACACACAACGAACCAACTGAAATAAGGGATCCCTAAAATAAAGATGAGTTCAGCAAAACAACTGAAATATAGACGTGTTCAATGATAAGTAAGGTGCTTGCCCATCCTTCACATATCACAATCCTAGCTAAAGATAAGAGCTGCAGACCTGACTCATAAGAATCAACAAGAAGGGCAAGGTAATCGACTCCCAATTCATAAACTATGACAAATATCATACTATTTGGTACTAGTACATGGTACTGAAATGAAAACCAACTCTAAGGATTCAAGCGGCACTCATGTCAGCATTCTGCATAAAATGACAGGAGTTGACCCTTAAAACAAGAATTCCATCTCAGGTGATGCTACTTGCTACGTACAGTACTATTCTCAGCACCGACAAACGAAAACACCTCAGCATCATATTGCTAGTGACCTGTCAGAAAAATCTTGACAGGACACACTTAACCAAGAGGAGCCTGCTCTGAATCTGGAGGAGGAAGGGGATACTAACCAGTGGAGCCCTCGTAGTAGGCCTCAGGCCCCTCGATGAAGAGAACGCGGCGCAGCACGTCCTCCCGGTCCATGCCCACCAGCCTCAGGTACGGCTCCGCGGCCTTGGACTGCAGGCAGCAGAACCTGATCTTGGCGTGCTTGTCCGTCCTGAACACCCACTTCACTCCTGCATTGCGAAAACCGCGAACAATTCGCCATCACAATCGACTCCCAGGCGCAACAAAGCAGCACCGTCGAACGCGAATCGCTCGGCCCAAATTAGGCCACGGTGCGAGCCAAATGGTGCCCAGGAATGAGGAATCGTGCGCTCACCGCGGTGGCAGAGGTGGCAGACGCCGTCGTAGATGAGCACGCGCGGCTGCAGGACGGTGGGCACGGTGGCCGCGATGGCGGCGGCGGCGGCCCCGACCCCGACCGGCACGGGCGACCCGAGGGGCCGCGGCGCGTCCTCGTCGACGACGATGTCGGTGGCGGCGGCGGAGGCGACCGCCGACGCGCAGCCGCCGAGGCCGGCGAGCGACGGGGCGAGGCGGGGGCGGAGGCGGGCGATGAGGGTGCGGACGAGCATTTTTTTTTCTCTTTACTCCCTCGCGGCGAGGTGGCGGTTCTACACAGGTCTGGGCTTCCCTTTCTTCCTTCCCCTCTGCTTCAGGCTGCTGAAAGCTTTCTCTCCTGTTTTATTTTTTCTCACTGTGCCCTTTTCAACGCTGACCGCGGATCGCCGGGCTGCTTCGCTTGGAGAGCAAGTCGAATGTGGTGGGCCTTTCCCTTTCTGTCCTTTTTATACATTTTTTAATTATTCCCTGGTCTTAAATGTAAGTCTTCACGTGAACTTGATTTTTTTTTTGCAGATAACTCGATTTTGGGATGCTTTTTTTTCTTGAAGGGAGATATATTAATATCACGAAGATACCAATTGCACCCAGCCCCTGCACAAATAAGATGTCGAAAGACATTCAGGATATATTCGAGAAAAGACATTCAGAATGCACACAACCAAAAACAAAATAAAAAAGAGAGAAATATAAAAGCAATGATCATGTCGCAGTGATGAAACACTAACACTGTAACCAACACCAAAGACAACACTCAGACCCCAAAAGTGGTTCTTCAAAGCGACGCCTCCAAAAAGAAAACAATGCACAAGCGTTGTTGTCGCCCGATCAATGATCTTGAGTTTTCACCTTGAAGAAAGACCGAGATCCCAAAAACAATGCCTTCAGTAAGGCCATTGCCAAAGGGTTCAAAAAGGCCATTGCCAAAAACTCCTCTCCGCCATTACAAGCCTCCGATCGCAGCTGCCATAACTTTCATCACCATTCTCAATGCATGGAAATCTATGCTTAGACATGTCCCATGGCACCGGCAAGATAGCAAAGCTTCGCGTCACCCCCTCATGAAGCCTCTTTGGCCGAAGATAAGGGAGCACACGACCGTATCGATTTTGATCTAGATATCCAGTGACGACATGCGTCAAACATCAGAAATCTTTAAGAGGAACACCGGAACTCGTTGGCGTACAGATCGAGGAGGCAAACATGAAGCAGATCAAAGACTTGGCGCTCGAAGACCAGCAGGGCTAAACCACCTTTATTCCGGCCGAGCCAGTAGCCCCCATGCCTCCGGCGGCTGCAGAGGAGAAGACGAACGCGCCGACCACGCTAGTCATCCCACGGTATGCGAGTGGCAACCATCGCCGATCTTGGGATGCTAATTTAAACACCATTTTTTGTGCAAACATCTTGTGTCTCTTAAAATATTTATCCATCTCCAGATACTAATTTTGCTACTCCCTTCGATCCAAGTTAATCGACGCAGCTTTAGTATAATCAGAGGGAGTATTTGATTTGATTTTACTGTTCACACACATATGCAAGATGCACCTGGGCACGGAATCGCCACACTCTACATAATGTTCCTATTAAAAACTGCCAAAGATCATTTCGCCAATGGCTCAGAACAAGATCCATATATACCTACTCATCTCAGACAGGACGGCTTTCAACTTGAGCGGCCGACAATAACATCGCAGAGGTTCTGGCTAAGAAATGAGAACCCAATGTTTCATGTTGCTGGTAGGTCTCAAGTGAACCTAATACGTGTTTTCTGATTGAAGGGCCCAACAAACATCTTGTGATACCCAATAGTACGTGTTTTTTTTGTGCCACATGTTTTGGTGTAAAGAAGAAGCTACGCATATGAGAGTGAGAAGCCACAATATTGAAGCCGTTGATCTGATTTGTTCTTGAATACAGAGCTGGTCACTAAAGTCTATTTGATTCAATGGACTTTTGAAGGATTCAACCCTTAAAATTGTTCCTACATTGCTTGTTAGGTTCGTAGGACTACAAACTGGAAGGAGTTTTCCCTAGGATTTTCATGCACTAGATTTTGTAGGAAAACTAGGAAAATGCCCGTGCTATGGTACTGAACCCCCAAAAAATGAAGCGAAGCCTACTTTACTCAAGTTGTCCATGGATTTTTCGACCACAAACCTACTTGCTGGCATGAAACACTGGAAGTTAAATGCTAAAAAAGAAGCCTGTCCTTGCAAATTTGGCTCCTTATGCGTCATGACCATCTATTCTTGATAAAAGTGAACTATTGCCATTATTAAGATCAAGTACAATAGAGTCTCCTTCCTCCTCCCGCCGGCGGCGGCGCCGATCCGCCCCACCTCCGATGGCCTTTGGGCCATGGAGGTTCGGAGGATCTCAGCCCCATGCCGGCGGAAGGGACCCTGTTGGGGATATAACTATTTGATATGACCCGTCCAGGAGGGGCCGGGTTATACCTATGAATATTCTTGAAGCCCAGGACCAAGGTTGAAGATGGCGATTCAGTAAGGGCCAAAGCCCAGAGGCGACTTAAGGCCCATAGAGATAAACCGCCATATGTACATGACTTGTGTTGTAAGGCAGGAATAGTTAGAGACCGAGCCAGACACTGTTTATGAGCCGGCCGGGACTCTGAGAGCCACTGGGCGTCGACCTCTATATATAAAGGGACGACCCGGCGGCAGATCAGGGCAAGTAACATCAAATCGAGAGCTAGGTCAAGCGATTCGCTCCCTGGTCATCGAGACATAAGCAATCCCACTCAAAACTGGATCGTAGGCTTTTACCTTCACCGTAAGGGGCCGAACCAGTATAAACCTCGTGTCCTTTGTCCCTATTAACCCCTTTAAGTTTCCTTGCGATGGCTCCACGACTAAGTCCTTTCACGAGGACATCTGCCGTGACAATTCGACGATAATTGGCGCCCACCGTGGGGCCAGCGCACGGTGGATTTGAGTTCTTGAAGGGCAGCTTCGAAGGGCTCAAGGGATACGCTGTGGGCCAGATGACCAAGAGTCGTCGCGGCAAGCTCTATATCGATGACGCGGGCTGGGGTCCTGACGCCGACTCAATTGAGTACGAGTATCGGGTCCCCTTCGGTGGAATTCACATTTTCATCGGCAAGATCGGCGACCCGGGCCCTGAGCCGGATATCTGCACCGACCTCGTCGAGACGGCTCAGCGTGCGAGACCCGCCCGGGCTCTGCCTGCCATGAAGCGTACCTTCGTGGGATGCATCCACGGAGAACTCTCTGAAGGATCTGCATCTGGCGGTGAGACGGCCATCTATTCTGATGGTGAGTCGTCCACGGGTGAGATAGATTCGTTGTATCAACTGCAAAACGGCGGGCTTGGGGGCTGTTCCGATGGCATCAGTATTCCAGATCTCCTTGAGCCGCCGAGCAGGGTCGGGATCTTCATGGCTGGCACGCAACCTATTCAAAACTCCACAACTGCGGCAGCGATAACCTCCGGGTCAGCAGCAGCCGGGGCAGGAGGCCATGTGCGCTCGTCGGCTCAGGTGCTGATGGATCTCACGGATAAGATGACCACTCTGTTCACTGCCACGGTCAACCCGGTGGATCAAGCTCAACATGATGCGGAAGTTGTTGGGAAACGTTGCAGAAAATAAAAAATTCTATGCTTCACCAAGATCAGTCTATGGAGTCATCTAGCAACGAGAGAGAGGATTGCATCTACATACCCTTGTAGATCGCGCACGAAAGCATTCAAGAGAACGGGTTGAGGGAGTCGTACTCGTCGTGATCCAAATCACCGAAGATCCTAGCACCGAACGGACGACACCTCCGCGTTCAACACAAGTACGGTTGGGGAAGACGTCTCCTCCTTCTTGATCCAGCAAGGGGAGGGAGAGGTTGATGGAGATCTAGCAGCACGACGGCGTGGTGGTGGAAGTAGCGGCAATCTCGGCAGGGCTTCGCCAAGCTCTACGAGAGGGAGAGGTGTTGCAGAGGGAGAGGGAGGCGCGAGGAGCAGGGGTGCGCAGCCCTCCCTCCCTCCCTCTTTATATAGGGGCCCTGGGGGGCGGCGGCCAAGGGGGTGGCTTGCCCCCCAAGCCAAGTGGGGCGCCCCCCACCCCTAGGGTTTCCAACCCTAGGCGTAGGGGGAGGCCCAAGGGGGGCGCACCAGCCCACCAGGTGCTGGTTCCCCACCCACTTAAGCCCATGGGGCCCTCCGGGATAGGTGGCCCCCACCTGGTGGACCCCCGGGACCCTTCCGGTGGTCCCGGTACAATACCGGTGACCCCAGAAACTTTCCCGATGGCCGAAACTGGACTTCCTATATATAATTCTTCACCTCCGGACCATTCCGGAACTCGTCGTGACGTCCGGGATCTCATCCGGGACTCCGAACAACTTTCGGGTTACCGCATACTAATATCTCTACAACCCTAGCGTCACCGAACCTTAAGTGTGTAGACCCTATGGGTTCGGGAGACATGCAGACATGACCGAGATGACTCTCCGGTCAATAACCAACAGCAGGATCTGGATACCCATGTTGGTTCCCACATGCTCCTCGATGATCTCATCGGATGAACCACGATGTCGAGGATTCAAGTAATCCCGTATACAATTCCCTTTGTTAAACGGTACGTTACTTTCCCGAGATTCGATCGTCGGTATCCCAATACCTCGTTCAATCTCGTTACCGGCAAGTCACTTTACTCATACCGTAATGCATGATTGTTGGGGAACGTTGCAGAAAACAAAAAATTTCCTACTCGTTTCACCAAGATCATCTAGGAGTTCATCTAGCAACGAGTGATGATGTAGTCGTACTCGACGTGATCCAAATCACCGATGACCAGCGCCGAACGGACGGCACCTCCGCGTTCAACACACGTACGGAACAGCCACGTCTCCTCCTTCTTGATCCAGCAAGGGAGGGAGGAGAGGTTGAGGGAGATGGCACCAGCAGCAGCACGACGGCGTGGTGTTGATGGAGCTGCAGTACTCCGGCAGAGCTTCGCTAAGCACTATGGAGGTTGAGGAGGTGTTGGGGAGGGAGAAGGAGGCAACCAAAGGCCGAGGCGTTCAGGTATGAAGTCCCTCCTCTCCCCCACTATATATAGGGGTGCCAAAGGGGGGTGGCCGGCCCTAGGAGATCCAATCTCCTAGGGGGTGCGGCGGCCTAGGGGGGTTTCCCTCCCCCCCAAGGCACCTAGGAGGTGCCTTACCCTCCTAGGACTCTTCCCCCCTTAAACCCT